AAGTGGAAAATATTACATACATTACACTGACATTTTTCTGATAGATGGGCAAGAAAGTATAATTCAGAATTAATTCCAAAATTCGTTATGTACATAACATATTGAATTTGGAAGTAGTTGTTTTTTGAAAACGATGATTTATATTATTTTGGTTAAAATTCGATTTATACTCTTTTAAATATTGACAATACCATTTCCACTATTAGGTGTATCAGTATTTTAAGAGTTGTCTTTATGAATTTTTGATTTAAAATTTCTTATTAAGACTGATCCCTGAAATATACTACTAAGTTTGGTTGATTTCGTCGCCAAGTGTCTTCAGATACATTTTTATCACATGTTCACTTCGCAAGCTGTCTATAAAAAATTATATAAAAAGAGTAATCTGAAAATAAAAGTACTTATTTCCGAACACTAAATGATTTTACAAGTTTTTAAAATTATTTTTTGATAATACTGTTTGTTCGTTTTTTCTTTTTTAAAAACAATAATACCCTTACTTTTAAAGATACAATTTATTTTCTTAATTTTGTATAGGTTTCTCGAAATTAATTTTGTGTTCAAGTAACATGTTATTTTCAGGAGGCAATGCAAGACATGCTCTTAAAATATTTTCAATCGCAGCTCGTTGTCTGGATAATGCGTTTATTACCGGTATTCCATGAGGCACTAATGGTGCTTTGCAAAGGTACGACAATATAGAAAGCACACTATGAAATCCAATAAATTCGTCATTCGAATCTGCTACTTTGAAAGTAATACGTGAACAAATTTCTGCCAGAAGAACCAGATCTAAAATTATTGGACTAGCCAGTAAAGAATCCTCACATGTATTATGTACCACAATTGTATTGTGCCCTCCAAGTAGTATTTCTGATGTGTACTCATCCATAGCCCGTTTACTATCACCTAACAAGAGATTATATGTTAACTATAATATTTTTAGAATTCTGCATATTTTGCACATTTAGATATAGGTCTATGTAATGTTCTTTTTAGTATAATGAATTTTTCACACGTAATGTCATCTTAAACGTTTGTATATTTTTTTTATACATACCAACATATGGAACATATTTAATTACAACACAATGGTCCGGTTTCTCTCCAGGTTGGTAAAGGATTTTATTTGACAGTACCATATCATCCACCACATTGCTTTTTGATATCTAAGTAAAAGATTATGTTAAAATTATATATATATATACGTAAATGTGATTCACTCAAAACTAGTTCTTCTTTAAATTACCTCCTTTGAACGAAATTGTTGGGGAGCAGATAAATTATATCCATCATTATTTCCAAGATGATTGTAGCTGACAATTGATACTGGTTTGATACCAGCTGATACTAGAAAATCTACAAGTACAGACTTTAGTTTTGTTTGTCCAGACTTAAAATCATCACCACCGATAAATGTTTTATGTTTTTCCGCTAATTCCATTGCTCCAGGCACAAAAGTATTTTGAGGAGAGCCATTTATATATGTACACTATAATAACAACTATGTTAAATTATTCATATTATTACAAAAATTTAGTAGTAAAATTGTGTTACTTACACCTTCTAAAGCTGCTGCAACAGCGAATACTGTACTTGGACTAATTTCAGAATGATTATCTTTGATAGCTTTTAATAAGTTTTTAGCTGTATCATTTACACCTGGTATTATTTCAGAGAATCTTTCAGTATTAGCTGTCCACAATATAATTACTTGATCAAAGTTCTTTGAATTCTTAAATTCTGCAATATCTTTTCTAATCGTTTCCAAATGTTCAAATTTTGAACCTGAAATAACATTATTGGCTCTTTTCTCCTGAAAATATAAATTCACAGTGACATGTAATGTAATAACTAAAAATGATGTAAATGTAGTAATAAAACTGAAACAAAAGTAATTTCACCTGATTAGCTGCAATAAAATCAGGGTAGTATATGCTTTTCCTTGGTTTCATATGTATCATATATGGTTCCAATTGCTTCTGCAGGTTAATATCTAGAACTTTTGCTCGCTTCATAGCATCGGCTATGTTCATGTTTGAAATATCCCAACCATCAAGTTCAATGTCATCTGGATTTACCATTGGAAGTATCCAAGACATTGGAACATACACATCTCCTTTCGTTCCTCTACCCAGTCTAACAGTAGAAGCTTGAATCAAAGATCCATACCTAAAATTTACAATAAAAAATATATCCAACAGTATTAATGCAAAAATTCAACAGAAATAATTCATTGAAATATTTTATTAAAATATTATCACATTATTATATACTAAATTTATACTAGTATACATATAACACTAAAAAATGATTAAATTTTATTAAAATATTAGTACCAGTTAGCTTTTTGAAGACCATTTTTTGTTTCCCATGAGAGTTTAAGTTTATTTGCTAATAATGCAGCAGTAATAGTGGTACCATTATTTCCACCCCATCCTACCAACATTAATCCAAGCTTTGGAACTTTCAATTGTGTTCTAATTAATAATTGTGTCGACACTGGCTTCACCTATTAAATGTAAATTTAATTTAGAGTTTGTAATTTATTTCCCTTAGACGTTTAAAATAAATAACATTACGCATAGTAATTGTTAATATTTGTATCCAAAGTTTTTTCTGCTAGNTACCAACATTAATCCAAGCTTTGGAACTTTCAATTGTGTTCTAATTAATAATTGTGTCGACACTGGCTTCACCTATTAAATGTAAATTTAATTTAGAGTTTGTAATTTATTTCCCTTAGACGTTTAAAATAAATAACATTACGCATAGTAATTGTTAATATTTGTATCCAAAGTTTTTTCTGCTAG